TTTTTTTTTTTTTTTTTTTTTTTTTTGTGGTAAGCATTCTTAACTGCTGAGCCATTTCTCTGCCCGCCCCCCTTTTCCATATTTATTTATTTATTATTTTCTGCCCAGATTCCTGAGGGCTAGGATTTCAGGCACGTGCTGCTGTGTCCAGCCAAGTCACTATTTAGGAACTTAGAAAGCAGTCTGCTCAGTGTTAGCTTGGTGATGTGGAACCTAGCTCTTGTGAGTCCATTTTTATTTTTAGCCTGGTCCCTGTAAGAGCTTAGTCCAAAACAGTTTTTAAAATTACTCAATGATGTCAGGCAGTGGTGGTGTGCACCTTTAATCCCAGCACTCAGGAGGCAGAGGCAAGTGGATCTCTGAATTTGAGGCCAGCCTGGGCTACAGAGTGAGTTCCAGGACAGCCAGGGCTACACGAAGAAACCCTGTCTCAAAAAACAAAAAACAAAAAACAAAAGAAAAAAAAGAAAAAGAAAAAAGAAAGAAAAATTCCTTTTGGCTGTTTTCAAGACAGGGTTTCTTTCGATAGACCAGACTGGCTTTGAACTCACAGATCTCTGCCTGCCTCTGCCTCCTGAATGCTGGGATTAAAGGCGTGCACCACCACTGCCTGGCTCAAAAAAGAATTTTTAAAAATACATTTTAAAGAACATTTAAAAAATGGAATTGAATAATGTATACTACAAGCAGAGTAGATGCTAGTCAAGCTGTGCAGAGAGCAGTCTGGTGGGCTGCCTGGGGGAGGTGGCAGTCACAGTCGAGTCTCTGGGGTCATTTGACACAGAAGGAGGAGAATGTGTTGGGAGTGTGCAAAGCTCCTCCATCTCACCTCGCTGCCCTTTCCCACCCTGTCAGAGCCCGTGTCCCAGCTGCGGGCTGACTTCACCCTGTACGATGGGGACTCAGGCCCCACTGTGGAGCTGTCCTGCCTGGCATCCTCAGGCAGCCCACCCATCGTCTACAGCTTGGTTGGGAATGACGGGCGTGTGCACGCACAGCAGAGGCCACTCCATGGGAAGCCGGCCAACTTCTCCATCCCACTGGCCCAGATGTCGGGCTGGTTCCACTGCGAAGCTGCGAACAGCGTTAGCGTGGACAGCAGCGCCCGAGTTCTGCTGCCCCCAGGTGAGAAGGCCCTTCCAGGCCTGGAGCGGGGTCTACAGCGTGTCCGGGAAGGTGGTCGGGGCTGGGGAACAGCTGGATCTGCCACTGCCCAGGGCAGGGTGGGCCTGAGGATGCTGCGTGCCTCCCTTGCCCCTCGCCTAGCCAAGGCCAACCCAGGCTCCTTACCACCCTACAGGGGAGCTGCCCGTGACAGCCACCTGCATGCTGGCTGGCAGCCTGGTCTCCATTGCAGCTATTAGTTTCGGGATGCTGAGGTCAACCAGGTAATCATGGGAACTTGGTGTGGGGCGAGTGGCTGACCACCTCTGTGACCAGCCAGGGTCCCGAGGAGGAGCAGCAGGTTAGTCTTGTGAGACTGGTTGTCACTGAGGCACAGCATGTGCCCAACCTGAAGCTGCTTATTAAAGCCAAAAGCCCATAGTGTCTAGCACGTTCCTTACACACCCCACCCTAACCACGGCTCTCGGCTGACGCTGGTGGGGGACTTCCCTAGGGGTTTCATGGGGCCTCCAGGAACCAGGGTGGTCCAGGAGCTTCTGGCCTCCACAGCCCTCCACAGTGGTCCCACCAGCCAGCCTTTCTGCAGAGGTGAGGCCTCCCAGGTTCCCCTCTCCAAGCCTTCACATCTTTCACATGTACAGTGGCCAGGGCCTTTGTGTGGTCTGGCTCCAGGCACCACAGATCTCTGAGCACCAGCTACTGGCCCTTGGGTGGTGGCCACTTTGGCCTTCTTGAATATCTCAGCTTGGCCCTCCTCCCAAGACCATCCAGTGGCCAGACTCTTGGGAGGGCATGTCGCTCTCTGAAACTCATTGTTTTCCCCTATAAAATGGGGTACAGAGGCCTAGCTCCTGCTGACCGTGTGACCAGAGACCAGCCAGTAACCTCTCGGTGACTCGGTGCATTTAGCAGTAACATGAGTAAGATCACTGATGCTCTTGAAACCATAAGATTGGGTGAGTCTGCCTGACCTGGACTGTAACTCCCTTGTCATCAGGTCGTGACCAGAAGACAGAGCCCAGGCTTTCCTGCCTGCCCTAGACAAGAACCCATCACTGGAGCGGAAAAGAGCCTGGGGGGTGGGGGCAGAAAGGTTATGCCTGTGCAGATCAGGGTACCAAAAGTAGTGCACCCCAAGAAGTCTGGAGCATTAGTGTGTATAAGGCCCAAAGAAATAAAGTTGTGCGTGGGAGTCCTGCAGCGTGAGTGGTTGTCGGCGGCCTGAGTGACTGAGTGGCTGTGCTTGCTCGCAGGTATACTGGAGCCCAGCCTTAAACTGCTGGTCACGACCCCACTGAGGTCGCATAACTGAAGAGGGGGTCATCAACAATTTGGCAACAGTGAAAAGTTTCTGTGTGTGGTGGCTCATGCCTGTAATCCCAGAATTTGGGAGGTAGAGGCAGGAGGATCAGGTTGTCTTAGTACAGGAGTCTGGGTCTCAAAGAAACAAACAAATAAAAACAAAAATTGAGGTGTCAGCTGAGTGTGGTGCGCACACCTTTGCTCCCAGCACTTGGGAAACAGAAGCAGGAGGATCCCTGTAAGTCAGAGGCGCAGCCTGGTCTACATAGTGAGTTCTAAGACAGCCAGCCTGCATAGTGAGACTCTGTCTCGAAATAAAACAACAACGAAGTCTAAAAAGGGGCCTGGGAGATGGGTAAGGTGCTTGCTGCCAGGCCTGACAGCCTGGGTTCAATCCCAGGGACCCACACGCTGGAAGGAGGGCACAGGCTCCAAGATGTCCTCTCTAGGACACATGTCACATGTGCCCCCCATTCCAGGCACAAAACAATTACATAAATGTAATGAAAGAAGTTTTATTTATTTTTTGTTTTTTTTCAAGACAGGGTTTCTCTATATAACAGTCCCGGCTGTCCCGGATCTCGCTGTGTAGACCAGGCTGACCTCAAACTCACAGAGATCCTCCTGCCTCTGCCTCTCAAGTGCTGGGATCAAAGGCGTGCGCCACCACCATCCAGCTAAGTTTAATTATTTTTTAATCTAGAAAAAGAAAGTGAAGGAAGGAGGTGGGGGGGGGTCAGCAAACACTCACGGGGTGTGTGTGCACAGATTTTAGGAGTTAGATTGTAGAGTGGGCCTGTGCTCACCAGCAGCTTGTCAGCCTCTGTGTGAGTGTGGGCAGGGTGGGGATAGACGGTGAAAAGGCCCAGCCCCTCCTGTGCCCACTCCTGTCTTCTCCCCAATGCACCCCTTCTGGTGGGCCAGGTTTCTGCCTCAACTTCCCTTACTGTCCAGCCCCCCTCATGATTCCTTCCCACCAGGTGACCACAGTAGTGCCATCTTGTCCTGACTCGTTTTGTGTCTGCTAGTCACCTCTCAGCCCTCTGTACGCCTCAACAGCCATGTCTGCCTTGGCAATACATTTGTGTTGTCCACGTAAGGCTGTCTGGAGGCCTCTTGGCAGTCGGTTCAGCCCTGGGTTGGCACACAACCCTTCACAGAGTAAGCACCTGGTTCCCTTTCTAAATGTTATTTTTTGGGCGGGAAGGGCAGCTGGGTTCTATGAACTAATGATCCTATTTAATTTTTAAAATTACATCTGTGTGTGTGTGCTTGTGTGTTTTGAGACAGGATCTCAGATAGCTCAGGCTGGTCATGAAATCCTTATTCTCCTGCCCTCTTCCTCCCAGTCCTGAGACCATCACTGTGTGGTTTGCCCTGCGTGATCTTGACATCTAGAAATGTGCAGACACCCTGTCCTTCAGAGCCTTTCCCCTGGCAGGTCCAAGTGGGATGTGTAAAGGGGTTGTCCTCTACCCCATCCCAGGCCTAGCTCCGGAGGACCCAGATTGGTGGGGCCACATCTATTCCTACTCTTGTCCCAAGGCTAGAACCCAGGGGACTCTGATGTGCTAGGCAAGAACTTAAGTCCCAGTCCTTCGGTCTGGAGCACAGTGGTGAGCTCTGGACATTTATGAGCCTAGGTTCTGGGTTGGTGGGATTCGGGTGTCTTCTGGAGAGGACCAGAAGCCAGGGCACTGTGTAGGGTGTAAGGTGGCGGTCACCAAGGGTTTCTCTTCCTGGGGACTCTCTGAACCTTTCTGGTTGAGCTTAGCAGAACAGACCTCCCAGGGGTGAGCTTTTCCTCCCTTCTGCACCACCCTGGCGCTGCAGGCCCAGCTCCAAGTTCCTGCACCTGCCACCACCAGGCAGGCACGGAGGGGCACTCTGCAGCGAGTCCCCGGCGGCTGGCCACGCCCTCGCTCGGCGGCTGGCCACGCCCTCCGTCGCCGGCTGGCCACGCCCCCGAGGGCAGAACGGGCGGGGCGGTCCGGCTGGTTCTCGGCCATCCGCGGCTCGGCGGCGACGGCGACATGGAGAGCGGGGCCTACGGCGCGGCCAACGCGGGCGGCTCCTTCGACCTGAGGCGCTTCGTGTCGCAGCCTCAGGTGGTGACGCGCCTCGTGAGCATGGTGAGTCGGCCAGAGAGGACCCGGAACCGCGCGTCCTGGCCGTCAGGCCCCGTGGACCGCCGGCTTCCGAGCACGACAGGTGGCTGCGGCCGCACGTCCCAGGCCTGGCGGGGAGCGCGGGGCCCCCGCAGCCCTCCGCGTCTCTGTCCCCTCCAGGCCGTGCGTCCTGTCGCCTGTCCCACTGCGTGGCTCCGGATCTTGTCTCAGCCACTCGGGCCCGGGCCCCGCCGCGCCCTCCACCACTGGTCCCGGCCACCCTGGTGCGGGATGTCCCCGAGGTGCTCTGGGGTGGGGGGGCAGGCCCGTCGCCTTGCTGGCAGTAGGTGGGGCTTCGGGGCCACGCCACAGCAGGTGGCCTGCACGCCGCGGTTCCCAGCGTGGGGAATTCACCTGGAAGGGACTTTCTGAGGCCACGTGGGGTGCAAGGAGTGGGGTGGCCTGGCGCCCCGAAGTAGGATTTCCTTCCCGCTCAGAGGCTAGCAACAGGTCTGCTAACCCACCCAGAAGGTACCCCCTTCCCAGACGCCGGGCAAGCCCTCTCGTACCAGGCGCGTATGGCGGGTGTCCATATCTTGGGATGAAAACACTGGAAGCTGAGGCTTTAGCTGCGGGAATTGAGGGTGGGCCTGCTGCTCCCAGGGCATCTGGGCCTGGAATCTTGGAGGTGCCGTGGCTCCCCGAGTCTCTCAGCCTAGCGGTGGAGTCTAGTAGACTCCGTCCTGGGTTGTACTCTGTCAGTCAGGCTGGCAGTGCCAGGAGTCCTGACCCAGACTCCGCGCCCAGTCCGGAGTTCCGGCTTCATCTCCAGCTGGAGGCGGGGCTTGTGATTTTCAGTTCCACAGCCCGATAGAGAAGTGTTCCGGGAGAATCGGTTTGTTCTGGCCCTGGGAGTCTGGAGGCAGCCAGGTGCCCAGACTCAGCTCCTTCTGCCGTGTTGAGGTGGGCTTGGCCGTGGCCCTGAGGTGTGAGGAGGCGAAATGACTAGGTCGATTGCAAAAGGGCTGTTTTCTAAAGTGGATAGTTTCTGCTGTGAGTTTCCTACCTCCAACCCGGCTCCTGCGAGGGGTCTGAGCCTGGCCCACAGACCTCTGGATCTGACCACCCCAAGAACCTTGATCTAGCCGGGCGGTGGCGGCGGCGCACGCCTTTAATCCCAGCACTCGGGCCAGGCGGATCTCTGTGAGTTCAAGGCCAGCCTGGGCTACCAAGTGAGCTCCAGGAAAGGCACAAAGCTACACAGAG